GTATGTACCACGACATAGTAGAATTAATGTTTATTGAGATATGCAGCTACAAAACACATGCCATTGAAACGGACAAAACTTTGGAAAAAACCTAATAGAAGCAGCTATACTCACGTGACGGAATGAATGGTCACATGACATTAAGTCAGACTTTTGAAACAACCTTATATTTCATATTTGTAATATTTCTACATTCTTCATCAAGCCAACCAAAATACATATTTCCGATAATAATATCTCAACTGTTTCAACTTTCATGACTAGGTAAGTTCCCAGTGGGAACTTACTTTACTCCTATTTATTTTCAATGAACTTTGGGGAGCAACATTTAATTGAAAAACCGATCCACAGGGAAGGCAAGTATGATTGATATATAAGAAATATTCAATCAAAACTTTGTTAGCTCTTCGATGAACTTTGTATTTGAACGTATCCGTCAACATTAGGGGAATAACCGACACATGGGCGGCGAGATTTTTTTTTCCGTAGGTAGCGACAAAAATTTTACAACTGAATTAAAATATATCTCGAAAAAAACATATATTACGTAACATTGCAATGCTAACAATCAATGGACATTATCTGAGAAATGTATTAACTCAATTGTTCCTAAAACACCTATTACTAAGTAATTTGTTTTAAAAAGATATGTTTTTCCGTTAACCAGCTGTCGCACCCCTACGAACGAAACTTGTGCGAGCTAAAGACTAACGAGGTCTTGCCTTTTAACGTGTGATTCCTAAGTGATTTGAAACTTGAACCTTCATATCCAACGAATTCAAAAACGTTTTGGTTTTTTGGAGAATGACGAGAGCATGTACTTCATTAAAGCTTTGGTATATACAAACGTGTATAAAAGTGACCACATCATGAAATATCATTGGAGTGATAAAAAAATTTAAAATATATCACTTGACCAGTTAGTATTAATTATTATTATTTAAATGTTGATTATTATTATGGACATCACCAATGAATTTCATTTTCAAATATTTGTTCCATTTATATTATATTACTAGTATGGAAATAAAATTTCATAAACAGAGAAAGTACGTATTTTTATCTACTCATAGGATAACTCACTTATTATGTAATTCCGGCAGTTATATCTGACCATGAAGCCGTTATTTCAAAATTTTCGGAAAAATATGTAATAAAAACATCTTCAAGAAATTCAAAGACGAATGCGAAAAATTTCTGTGGAAAGCTGTTTTGTTATTAAGTGATTCAATATGTGCATTTCAGGAACTACAAACTGAGGTATTTGAAGAATACTTCCCAAAACAAAAAATTTTAAAAAAATAAAAAAACCTGCGTAACACAAGGCTTGAGATCATCTGCAATAAACTTGAGATGATTACATACTTTACATATTTCAATAACTGTCGCCGAATAGATAGTAAATAAATGTGCTACAGAAATGTACTACAATGACAAAAAAAAAATGGCAGGTAACAAGTCAAAGAAAACTGGGCCGCCACCTGGGTCACCAGATATAAGACCTCTTTACTGGATAATAGTTGTCCATACGATTTTAATATTTGTTTTCTACCGCTTGACTATGAGGCAAACCAGTCATAACCAGCACCTCTGAAACCATAGTAGTAGAACTTCTTTAAAAGGAGTCTATGATTTACGCAATCGAAGGCTTTTGAAAAGTCACAAAACACTCCCCGTTGATAAGGTTCGTAAAAGCATGCTCATAAAAATAAAAGATGGCATCATTAGTGCTTCTTGAACTATGAAAACCAAATTGGGTGTTTGATAAAATTTCATGACTGTCTAAAATGGCTAAGTACCCTTTTTTCACAAGTTTTTCAATCACTTTCGAAAGTGTTGAGGGTAAAGAGATGGGTCTTTAATTGCTTGGATCTTCAGAATCACCACCTCTGAATAGTGAAAAGGCAAGAGATGTTTTGTGACATGCGGGAAATTTTCCAAGTGCAAACGATCTATTGTTTTTAATGTCTCGTAGTAGTTATTTCAATTCCAATAAGTTTGTATCCGTAAAGTGGAAATTATTGGATACATCAATGTGGTTAAGAAATTCCATGAGATCTGATTGAGGTTCTAGGGTAGATGTTAATTTTTGTGCAATAGAAGTCATTGAGAGTTTCGGAATTTATGTTGATGTTTTGATTTCGTGTTGAGTTTGATTAACAATATTAAAAATCAATATCGCATCGTACAATGAACAATCACAACGGAATATAACTGAAATAAAATGGATGAAATATGTTGTTCGCAATAAACCATTTCCGATCTATTATTGAGCAATATAAAAAGCCAGAAGTTCATATCATTTCAAAACAAGAAATAAACGGGTGAAAATATATTTTGATATGGATGTAAAAAGTCAATAATACTTCTAATTGACGATAATGGTGGTCCAAATTGAAAATCTAGGTTGAATTAGAACATACAGTGTGTAAAAGCCAAATGGAATAAATTTAATATTTCAGTTACTGTACATATTTTTTAAAAATCCTGAATCACGTCAAATGTAAATTATAGTTTGACATTCTTCAACGTGAAAATGCCACCCCTACCTTCGACCGCCTTCGAATGACAGGTACAACCCCTAATTGTTTAAATGGGAAGTATAGGTTTGTGATATATCGTTTGGAAAGTTTCTTTATTCAAAAATGTTATCAGTTTCGAGTTTATTGCAACAATTAAGATAAAATAAATTAAAATCATGTGGTTCCGAAATTCAATAAAATACACTTAAAAACTAAAATGTAATACAAGACGTAATGAAATGTAGAATACGAAAAATAATATTCAACGAAAGTCATTTTTTGTGGAGGAAAAAATCAGTTTTTATCGACCTCAAGACCATTGAAAGTGCGTGAGAATGAACATCGAGATTATATAAAAAATAGACAATTGACAGGATCAAAATTATCAGAACACATTTTAAAATCAGACGGTGAACATCGGGTGGAATGGAACAGGACAAGAATGATAACCAATGAGTCTAATCGCAAGCGTTATTCGTTCTTTTAATTTATTCAAATCTGAAGGTTTAGTTTTGTGCACATTGCTCTTTACATATCCCAATAAAAAAAAATCTAATAACGAAAGATCAGGTGATCGCGCTGGCCATACAATCGATCCTCGCCTTCCTATGCACCAATTGGGAAATGTTGTATCGAGGTATTGCCCGACATCAACTTGGTAATGTGTTGGTGCTCCATCCTGCTGAAACCATATCGTAATCACTGGAACTTGAGGGTTTCCTGGATCAGGATATAAACTTGCTAAACTTGGAATGACTTCATTTTGAAGTAGTGCCAAATAATTATCGCCATTCAAGTTGCCCTCAATGAAAAAGGGGCAAATGATATGGTTTCCTACAATTCCTCCCCAAACATTAACCTTTTGAGGGTATTTCGTGTGTTCTTCTCTCATCCAGTGAGGATTTTCCGTTGACCATTAGCGGCAATTTTGCCGATTAGCATGACCATTGAGAGAAAAAGTACACTCATCAAAAAACATAACGTCTTCTAATTGGATGATATTGTTATCCAACATGCCCATCATTTGCTCACAAAAATAAGTTCTATCAAAATCGTCTTCCATGAGCTTCTGAGTAGGTATCATTTTATATGGATACATTTTATTTTCTTTCAATATATTTACTATCCATGTATGGCTAACATTGAATGTAGTGGATGCCTGTCTACTTGATGTATGTGGATTTTCCTCAAACTGAAGCATCACTTCTAATTTGAGTTCATCACTCATTGCATTGAAAGCTACTTTTTTAATTTGCCCCACATGACCAAGCTCGCGAAACAGCTTCTCTATTTTGCTTATTGTTCCAAGAGATATGGGTGGTAAATTATGAAGATTCTCATGAAATAGGCAAACTACTGCCTGTTGTGTTCGAGTTTCATTTCCATATCCAAGCATTTGTAAAACTGTTATCATATGCATTTCGTTGATCTAACCATTTGTCAGACTTGAAGTTAACGAACTTCAAACTCAAATTAAAACACTGACTAATGTTATAACATACAAAACAAGTTGCCACGGAAATTATTTACAGTTTTTCAAAGGATACCATCTAAAAAGAACATTGCTATGGTTTTTTTCCTACTTTCTCATTATCGATACCTCAACATGAAACCAGTTTTGAGCGTATTTTATCGAATTTTGGTTACCACATGATTTCAATTTATTTTATCTTAATTTTTGCAATGAACACGAAAGCGATAACATTTTTGACTAGAGAATGAAGAGACCTTGCAAACGATATATCACAAACCTTTACTTTCCATTTAAAAATTTGGGGGTTGTACCTGTCATCCGACGGGGGTTGAAGGTAGGGGTAGCATGTTTTCGTTGAAGTACGTCAAATTATAATTCAAATTTGACGTGTTTCGGGATTTTGTTAAAATATATACCGTAACTGCAATAATGAATTTATTCCATTTGGCTTTTGCACACTGTATGTTCGAAACAAGTGAATCAACATGAACAAAAAACAATGAGAGAATCGCTAGTTAAATGTACGTAGGCCGCGAAATTTGAACATTCGCCTTATTTTTTGAACACACCACGTATTACTCACCTCTAGGTCTCTTTTATCGACATGGTAGGTAAATGGCATATTGAAATGAAAAAATACATGAGTCCGTGTTAGTAGGTTATTTTCAATATTATATGGGTGTTCAAAATATAGGTTTTTTTTAGTGAATGTCATTGCATTTGCATTTGCCTTTGTTATTGCATGTTAGTGTAATATACCATTCCTGAACATTGTCCCTTTGAAGTTGTTCATATTGTCGATATATTGGAAAATGTTGAAGTCGTCAGCAAAAAAAGATTCATTGATTTTTATAACTCTGTGTATTCTGTTTATTTTTTTATATACTGCCCATATCTTTGATATACCACCTGATGAATCATTATATCATACAGCATGAAAAATTGACTTGCTGCATGAACTCGGAGCCATATCCAAGTAACCAACAAGTTTTTTTTTGTTCCAGGTGGCCAATAACAGAAGAATAAGAAACAAGAGATACGATTTTGACGTGTATGAACCAAGGCAGGTCAGATACGATTTCGGGGAGGAGCCCAGTCTTTCTATCAACGCAAACATCCAGAACCTGAGGCAGGCTTATGCTAAAACGAAACTTCGAGAAAGGCTCGCAGCAAACAGAAAGTTTTTGGAAAACCTTCGCGACTCCCAGTAACTTCCATACCGTCACTTCTACTACTAGGAAAATAAAAACGAAGAAGAATTCCTCGTGCCGAACGGATTCTTCTTCGTTTTTCTGTACATCGATAGATCTGATTAGTTCGAAAACTGGGGAGGAAGTGATTCGAAATAGATGAAATAAAAACACATTCCATAAGTCTAGTCATATTATTTATTTATTTATTAATTTAGTTCGAAGCAGTAATTATGCACAAGCAGTATTACGAATTTTTACCTTATTTGGATGAATTCGTTCGATGTAAGAGCCTAGATTTTTATTGTTGACATGTATATTTTCCATTGTATGTTAATATGACTGTTTTATACGCTGATTTGTTCATATGTAAATGTTTGTTGCTAAAATAAATATATTACTTCGAATATGTGTTAATTCATTTCTTTAAACAGATCCACAATTCCTTTAATGAAATCAACGTTTGAATATAGATTTTGTGAATATTTCTAACTACATTTAGTTACATTTTGAAAATTATTATGGTGTAAAACTAACATTCAGAGTTTTTATAAATCTGGTAATCTGATAACAATCCGAAATTTTATGTCATCCCACATAAACTACAGGCCAGTTTAACAAATATCGAATAAATTTTTTAAAAACTTTCTTCATTTTCAAACAATATGTTATTGAGAAAAGTTGTTTAGAATCAAATACAATGTGATGTTATTCTACTAGAATTTTCATTATTTTCTGTACCTATTTTGTTTATTCACTCCCGAATTATACATTTTCTTCGAATACTGATCAAATTCAAAATAGCCTCCATCAAAATGAAGCGTAACTTGAAGGGAACAGTACCAATACTTTTCTTGAAATGAATAATAATAAAGCATATTAGAAAACTCTGAATTGAAGTGCATACATTTTTATTTATGCACTTATGAAGACGTTTCAAACAGAACAGATCTGTCTGTAGAGTAGGGAGGGTGAGTGTAAGCCCACGCGCTTAGGCCAAATGTGACCCATTGTACATCCTCCCGAGGAGTTGTCCTCCTAGGTCATCGTCCATCCTGTCCTTTCCAGGGAGGTGGACCGGTCGCTGGGAGATTTATCCTTTATATCGGCAGGTGTAGGCCAAGACTCGCCGAACACACACTCTCTTATTGACGATAACTCCGGGCACTCGCACAGGACATGCCTGACAGTCTCATCTTCCTGTTCACACATCCTGCATAGAGGTGTGTCCACTAGCCCCATATTATGTAGGTGTTTCCTTAGCTGACAGTGGCCAGTCAGAAATCCTACTG